TCAAATGAAAAAAAAAAAAAAAAGCTTGACCGTTTGGTTTAATTGCCGAGGCTTTCGTTTAAGACAGCGCTCTGTAGTAAAAAGTAACAGTAAAACTAACATTGAAACACGCGGAGTAACTATTTTGTGACAATTTAAAGAAAGCAACTTTACTTATAGCTATTAAATTAATAGTTGATTCAATAACTAAAAAAATACTTCCAGCCAAAAAATCATAAGTTCCTGCCGATTAAGTTCTGTCTTTTTTCCGGCAGTTCAAAGAAGGACTTAAAATTTATAATCTTAAAGCCGAAGGGAGGGGCAAACATTTCTCTCCGAGCCAATTTGCAGCGTATTGCGTAGGGTATTGACTTATTAATCTCAAATTTCCGCTTCTTACTACGGTAATTGGTGAGAAAGGCTTATATTTTGGGCATTCGTTAATCAGTTCACTCAGTTTTGAGAAGAGCTTTAACAGGAAGAACCAGGAAGAAGCGAAGTCGAAGACAGACTTGATAATTCAAGGTAGGGTTTATTGTCCTGTTACGATTAAGGCCGCAGATCATCAGTAGAAAATGTAACAGAAAGATTGCTTTTATTTGCGAAGATACCGTTGCAGCAGCGATTTTTTCGAGGTAATGATATCGCGACGAGAATTTATTTCATTTACATGTGACTGGTGTTATGAAAATCGTGTCAATAGTTTACATCAAATCACCTACACGCACTTTGATTTCACGACTTCTAAAGGCCTTAAGATCGATCCAAGCGATGAAAAAGAAACAGAAAATAGAGGGAGAAGAGCAAGAAAAGGAAGATAAGAGAGTGGAGGAAAAAAGACTGACATTCCTTTTAGTATTTATATCGTCTACTTTGGAGTCTGTGGCAAAGAAAAAACGCTTGAGTGTAGAGCGATTTCTTTAACACTGTTTTCATAACTAAATCCAGACATATTTAGAATGCTTGAAAAACACAAGGAAGTTTGTTCTTGTTCTCGTTTCCAAGGGATCGATTGATTTGTTCTAGATTGACTCAGTGCTGAGAGGTCGGGGTTCAAGCTTTCATACGTAAAAATAGAACTATCATCTGTGGCTTGCTAGACTTAAAATTACTATTCCCTAACAACTTGCCCGGCTGCTGCTGTTTAAACCTTCATGCTAGTAACTGGCTAATAACTGAAAACGTTTTGTAGAGTTCGCTGCACGTTAATTGCTGTTTCGACGGCGCAATTTCCTGGTCGCTTGCCGAAAGCACAGTATATTTTTGGAATGACGAAAATTGGTGTGATGACGTCGGTAATCTTCGGAATACTATCGGGAACATTCGATGATCTTCCAAACCTTCAGAAGTCTTCAGTTCATCGTCAGAAGTCTTCGGATCACGACCTATGTAAATTTGCGGATCAATTCGAGGACCGAAGCCAATCTTTGGAAATCTTCGGAGCCTCTTTACCAACGAATAGCGAAAATTAACGAAAAATAGATTGATCATTTCTCGGTCGCCACAGAATTCATAAAGCGGTCGATAAAGGAAGTTTTGAACCACAAGACGACATTCCAAAATGTTACCGCACTAGTTCCCAGGTCCTCACGCGTGCACCATCCGAAGAATTCTTCTGTTCTAGAAAATTTTTTCACTTTATAAATACTTTAAAATAAACAGAAAACCTCACAGCAAAGTTACAAAACTTAAATCAAAATTCTCACTTATCGTGGGTTAGCTTCATCGGGCTTTGAAGTTAGTTTTTTTCTCTATAAAACACATTTATTCAACACATTTGCTTTGTAGAAGAATGTTTATCATTTTGAAACAACAACAAAAACTAGCTTTATTTGCATTAGGGCCTGTTCGCACTACGCGAAATTTTGTTTGATTTGCCAAAAAATCTGTCAACACGCAGCCATTTCTAGTGCGAACGAGTTTTTGAACCCACCAAAATTTTT